ATCTGGGCCGGGCTTCATGTAGTTGTTCTTCACCATTAGAATCTCCCCGCTCTCCTTCATCCTCGCGAGATGCGCTGTCAGCAGCGACGAGTGAGCCTCCGGCAGCTGATCTCCGTACTTCGATTCCATGTGCTTCGAGATTGAGGACTTGTTCGACCCAGATTTCTCATCCAACGCCTCAATCGCCCCCAAAATCATCTAAAATCAAAAAACCCGACAGAATAAAATATATAAAAACCCAGAAATCAAAATCAGGTTAGGAATCGAAAAGGGTAAAGATTCAGTACCTCAGAGTAAGAGGGGAGCGATGAAGGCTTGGTCACTTCATCAGTGGCCATGGTGAAAGTGAGATGAGAGAGAGAGGAGAAACGGGCTGATGAGAGAAAATGGGTTTGGATTGGGATTTAAAAAGATGAGTTCTTGGGATAGATCGAGGATATTAAAAAACAAAAAAAGGATTTTTAAATAGGCAAAAAATTGTTGTATAATAAAAAAAATTTGGGTGTTAAAAAATTGAGGTGATAATCGAAGGGGAGACTGAGGCCTGAGTGTTTCTTCGGAACCGTGAATTGACGGTTGAGATTGAGTGTGATAGATAAATCCAACGGTGGCAATTAATTTAGGGGTGAATACTTGGATTGGTGACGTGGACTGGAAGGTCTCCGCTTTTCAGCAAATTTTTTGCTGCTCTTCATAAAGGGAGCAGGAGTTGGAGGAAATTACACTGGATGCCATTCTGAGAAGTGGGGACCACCGAGTTTCAAATTTCAAAAAAGCTGGGGACTGGATGAGCTGAGCTCTCGTGAATTTGGAGCCCCTTTTATTTCTGTGTTTGAGTTAAAGAGGAGTTCCGATCTCTGAGGGTTGGCTTACTCCTTTTTAGGTAATATTTTTAATTTAAAAAAAGCACTTCAGTGAAAAATAAAAAAACTCGGTTGGCACTGTTTCTTTATTTTACCTTTTTACTTTTTTCGGGGTAGATTCTGAGCATCTAATAGGGTGTGTTTGTTTCACCAAAAAATTTGGCATTTCATATGGATTATTAAGTTTTTGGATCAAAAAGTGAGTTTTTTTATATTTTGGGATTTTATATATGGTGTTTGTTTAAAAAAAAAATTAGAATATTGAATCCAAAAGTGTAAAAAATACCCAATTTTTAAAATTTGTTAAATACTCTTAATTGGAGAGGATTTTGACAAATTTCATAAATGAGTGTACTTAACTCTCAATTGGAGAGGATTTGACAAATCTAAAATTTTGCCTTTTTGTGGGAGGTAACCTCACCAAGATAGCATATTCATCATATTATAAAAATTTGTTATTTGGTCATGCTACAATTTAAGCTTGAAACAAACAAAATATTACAAATTGTAGTTTTTTAAATCCTAAAATATTAATGAAACAAATAACATTTTAGAAATCCCAACTCATAACAAAACACATATGGATTTCAAATCCCACAATGAAATCTATATCCTAAAATTATAGGATTTGAAACAATCACCCCTTAAGTTTAATTTCTAGGTATCGGCACTGTGTAGACAGAAATTTGCTGTTAAAATACAGCTGTCCATTTCTTATTGGCAATGAATTGGATTAATGGGTACGGAGCTGGAGAGAAAGCCAACACAGGATTTGTTATGGTGTCTTAATCAATCAGTGTTAGTGGTGTACTTATTGATTAAGATTGGGCATGTATAAAGTAGATTGAGCAAAATTACCATTTAAGGTATTGAGAATATTACATCACTGGTTTAAAAAAAGTATTAAATCAGTGATCCGTTTGTTTTTGGATTAATTATAATACAGTACATTGAGATATGGTGTAACTACATCAATGATCCGATGATGTATAACACACTGCGGATATGTCTAAGGAGATATAGGACCGTCAAAAGCCCAAACGTAGGCTCAGCCAAAAATAATAATTTCCAACAAAGAACGAATCATATCTCTTAAACCATACGTCAGAATTGGACGAATTATATATATAAATCGCGCATTTTTTCGAGATGGGGTCAACCAAACCCACCGTCGTTCGGTTTGTCGCCATCTGTTTCGTAAAGTTCCATCTGGATTAAGAGATATCAGAGTTTTTGTTAGTTTTTTACTATTTCAGGTAATGTTTTAGGAGTCTGTTTTGGTTAGGAAGCAAATTCGGTTTGATTTCAAATTTGACCGTTTTACTTCCCTAATCATATAAAGTATTTTAAGGGGAGTTTTGTTATTCCTATTTTTAGCAAAGTTTGGGTCACAGTAGGAGTCTTATTTATTTACTATTTAAGCAGAGTATTGTAAGCCCTAGATACATAACTTTTTCATTAATTAAATTCCTTTTTAATATTTTCTTCATGGATTCAGAGATCGTTCTTTGTAGATTCAGAGAACACTCATTAGTGGATTACGAGGTTTTCACTTCCGCGTTGCGTTATCTAAGAGTTTGTGTATCTATATGAGTAACATTTATGTTACTGATTATAACTATATGGGCAATCCTGAGAGTTGTTTTTCATCTAGGCTCTAGGATAACCTACATTTATTTATTTGGAAAGTTTTTTGCGTTGGTTACTTAGATAGTGTATGCCAAACCGAGTTAATAAGATTACATTCAACAATAAATCAGACAAGGAATAATTCTATTTTGGCAAAACCCCTAAAAGAATTAGTTTAACTAGTTTATGTTAGGTCACTTTACCTGATAACCTGGCAAGGAACCCCCCAAGTGCGTGTGAACCCACGCTAATGTAGATTAATGAGCAATTCTAGCCACAAGCGCGTGTGAACCCCACGCGCGCCTGTGGCTAGGCGTTCTCAAGTTGTCAAGTTCGACAAGTACACTGAACAAGGTTTGCTCAAAACAATTTTGATCTAAGTTTACAATCCTAATTTGACAACTTTGCAGTTTAGATCTAACCCAGTTTTACCGTGTTTTGGTTAATAATAAGATTAAAAACGAATGAAGGGACTAGTATAAAAAAATAATCCAAATTATACTTGGCTAGAAAAATACTGCAATAAAGGAAAAAAAATAAAAGACGGCCAAATTGAATTTTACTTAAGCTCGGATTAAATAAAAATAATCAAATAGTAATCCTAAGACAAATTTAATTGAAGATAGATAGTTAAATTTAACTTAAAACAATTTCTATAAAAACCAATTTATAGTTACTAACATCAAGTATAATGACACTAGCACTAGTCCAGTTTCGTGTACTATTTAACGAACTCACCTAGGCCTGTCCAAAAAGCCCGCTGGCGGAAAAGTGAATCTAAGGTGACACCCTAGGCTCCCACCTAAGGACGCGGCCTAGAATCACATCATTTTCTTTTTTTTGCGATCCGCTCCGTTGAACTTGATCTACATGTTCTTAAACCCAAACATACCAATTTTGGGGTGAACCCGTTATATTTTGACCATTCGTTGAGAGCCGTGCAAAAAGTTCTATTCATTCGAAACCGTTAAAATTGCAGTGAGTGGATAAAGGATCAAAACATAACGGGTTCACCCCAAATTTGGTGTGTTTGGGTTTAAGAGCTGTTTTCATCGAAAGTTACCTTAGTCATTGATTTCATTAAACTTTAAGCGTTACAAATGAATTCAAACAACAAAAGAATAAAAGATTACAACTTTCTCAAAAATAAACACAAGATCCGTTCGTCGTCTCTTGCTTGCGTGGGTCTTTAGCCTGTGACGGGGATGTCGATATCCGTGGACTACCTGGCAATCAGATCAGGTCCAGAGCTTCGTCGATCCGCGAGGAGATCTAGAAACAGAAGCGCTTATCTCAACAAAAGCGAGATAATTGCTCTTCTTAGAATTACCACGACGAGATAATACTAAGGATTGGATGCGGGTGATGTAGATCTGACGACTTTCGATCTCTTGTGTTGAAGAACTCGATCACTCTTCAGTTCGATAGGGCTTCGCCAATTCTCCAAAATTTCAGATCTGAAAAAATGAGGGCCTGAGGCTTGTATTTATAGGCTTGAGGAGGTTTCGGGCGGTTAAAACCGCATAAAGGCTCATTTCTGCGTTGGAGACACCCAAGGGTGTCTCCACTTGGTCCGAGACACCCTAGGGTGTCTCCCCTTGATCCGAGACACCCTTGGGTGTCTCGGCCTTGGCCGAGACACCCTAGGGTGTCTCGTCTTTGGCCGAGACACTTAGTTCACGTAGTTCATCGATTTACTTCAAGCGTTCATCGACATCAATCGAACTCCTGTGAATCGGATAGTGACGTTCATCGTCGTTCCTTAACACTGAGCTGTTCGTGGAGACCTATAGGTAATTTTCGATGCCTACAGATACCCCCTCCAAAGCGTTCCAGACTCGTTTCTTTTATAGAAGAGGCTGGAATACTTTGGATGTGATTGGTCCAGCCTTCAGTCGGCGTAAAGGACCTGTAGTTAGCTTCAACTCTTGGCTCCTTCGATTTTTTTCGGTCTATTCAATGCTTTGACGAATAGCCGAAGTCCTTCCGGCGCTGCGTTTATCGCCTGGCCGTCGTCGGAGTCTCGAGTCTACCACCAGTGAGTTGAGTTTGGCTCGTGTCATTGAGTTGACTTTGAACTGACTATCTCTGTCACACTGTGCTGACTTAGGGTTTCAGATCATCGTATGTTGACCTTTTGTCGCAACGTGTTGAGTGGCGTTGACCTAGGGTTACATGTTGACCGGTGTTGACCCTAGGGTTTCGAACGTCGAACGTTGATTTTTTTTTTGTCGCAACGCACTGACTAGCGTTGACCTAGGGTTACGCGTTGACCGACGTTGACCCTAGGGTTTCGAAAGTCAAATGTTGACTTTTTGGTCGCAACGCGCTGACTGGCATTGACCTAGGGTTACGCGTTGACCGGTGTTGACCCTAGGGTTTCGAAAGTCGAATGTTGACTTTTTGGTCGTAACACGTTGACTGGCGTTGACCTAGGGTTACGCGTTGACCAGCGTTGACCCTAGGGTTTCGAAAGTCGAATGTTGACTTTTTGGTCGCAACGCGTTGATTGGCGTTGACCTAGGGTTATGCGTTGACTGGCGTTGACCTAGGGTTACGCGTTGACCGGCGTTGACCCTAAGGTTTCGAAAGTCGAATGTTGACTTTTTTGATCACAACGCGTTGACTGGCATTGACCTAGGGTTACGCGTTGACCGGCGTTGACCCTAGGGTTTCGAAAGTCGAATGTTGACTTTTTGGTCACAACGCGTTGACTGGCGTTGACCTAGGGTTACGTGTTGACCGCCGTTGACCCTAGGGTTTCGAAAGTCAAATGTTGCCTTTTTTGTCGCAACGCGTTGACTGGCGTTGACCTAGGGTTACGCGTTGACCGGCGTTGATCCTAGGGTTTACTGGCGTTGACCTAGGGTTACGCGTTGACCGGCGTTGACCTTAGGGTTTTGAATCGTTCGGTGTTGATTAGTGTGGATTTCGTCGAAATATCCAACAACCGACGAAAATAGGCAAATTCGGGCTTGAAAAGGACATTTGTGAGCATA